GGGTAGTGCCGGACTCTTACCGGCTAAAACCCCACGGTGGCCATCCTCGGCACTCCGGGGGTGGGCCCGGGATCTCTTACGAACATAACCGGACCCACCCCACGCCGGGCCCCTCCCTCGAGATGTTCGATGCTACCTGTGCGGAGGGGCGGGGCACTTCGCGAGGCAGTGCCGAAAAAACAGACGGGAGAAAGGAAGCAGTGCAAACTGAACGTGATCGAGAAGGTGCCTGTCCCGTACCACACCATCCACATCGACCACGTGGGGCCCGTCGAGACAAGTAGGAGGCATAACAAATACCTGCTGGTGATTGTCGACGCATTCACCAAATTTACGATCATCGAGCCGGCGAAGGATCAGAAGACCCGGCATACGGTGAAGGCGCTCCTGAGCCTGATGTACCTGTTCGGCGACCCCGAGGGCGAACGGTACAACAAGACAGTGGTCGACGCGCTCGTCACTATCGCCGCAGGTAAAGACCCGAGGGGCTGGGACCTCGAGGTGAAGAAGGTGCAAAGTGCGTTGAACACAATGCATAACAAGGGCATTGCCACAACGCCAATGAGGGCCTTGATCGGATCCGATGGGCGGACCGTGGCAGAAAACCGAATCCTGAGTGCGGTACAAGAGGAGGTGGATCGCTTGGATCTAGCCCAGTTGCGCGGGACCATGGCGCAACACATCACCAAGGACCAGCAGGCACAAAAGGAGCGGTATGACCGCAGCAGGCGGGACGCTCGCCGATATACGGTAGCGGAGCTAGTGCTGGTGCAGCTGACTGGCGAACCTGCCACCGGCGCATCTCGGAAATTGCTTCCGAGATATAAGGGGCCGTTTGGAATCCGAACTGTGTTGCCCAACGATCGCTACGAGGTGGAAGAAGTACGAGAGGGGGTGAGGCGGTTCCGGACGGTTGTCGCGGCCGATCGGATCAAGCCATGGATTACAATCCAGGGTAGGAAGGAGTGCCTACGAATATGACTAATCACATCTTTTTCAGAGTACAGAATCTCCTGGGGCCGGCCGGGAAACACTGGTATATCGAGGAAGACGGGCTTCGTGTCGCAAAGTCGAATCGGGCAACCAAGGATGACAACAGAGCGTGCAAGGTGACACGAGCCCTGCGGGCAGCACAAGTCTAAGGTCGTCCCGAAACGAGCTCGAAATCGACACGAAGTGCCCATGGTATCGGACCGTTAAGTGGTCGCATCCCTCGGTTGATGCCGGCTGGCGGAAGACGTTGTACCCGGTTGTAGATTCAGACCGAGACATGGTTGTTGCCTGTCTTGGAACGCAATCGAGGTGGGAGACGCTGTACCCGGTTGTAGATTCGGACAGAGACATGGTTATTGCCTGCCTTGGAACGCAACCGGGGGAAGGGAGAGGGGATTGTTGCCCCCTCGATTGTAGATTCGGACCGAGACATGGTTGCAGCCTGTCTTGAAACGCAATCGAGGTGGGAGAGGCGGGATCAGACCGCGACCGGGTTGTTACCTATCCTGGAGCGCAACCCGAAGGGAAAAGCCGCTCTAGGTCGTGATTATAGCTTCGACGGGGACAGGACTCTGGGAGGGGCCTACGCAAGGAGAAGAGAACCGAGTGCCTACGAATATGACTAATCACATCTTTTTCAGAGTACAGAATCTCCTGGGGCCGGCCGGGGAACACTGGTATATCGAGGAAGACGGGCTTCGTGTCGCAAAGTCGAATCGAGCAACCAAGGATGACAACAGAGCGTGCAAGATGACACGAGCCCTGCGGGCAGCACAGGTCTAAGGTCGTCCCGAAACGAGCTCGAAATCGACACGAAGTGCCCATGATATCGGACCGTTAAGCGGTCGCATCCCTCGGTTGATGCCGGCTGGCGGAAGACGTTGTACCCGGTTGTAGATTCAGACCGAGACATGGTTGTTGCCTGTCTTGGAACGCAATCGAGGTGGGAGAGGCGGGATCAGACCGCGACCGGGTTGTTACCCATCCTGGAGCACAACCCGAAGGGGAAAGCAGCTCTAGGTCGTGATTATAGGTTCGACGGGGACAGGACTCTGGGAGGGGCCTACGCAAGGAGAAGAGAACCCAACGGGCCGTGCAGAACCTACTCCAAAGCAACAACACGCCCGGACGCGGTCAGGGTGCTGCCTGTACGGGCCGATGGACTACTCTTGCCCTCTGAACGAAACCCCTAGCTGCATTACGAATGAGGAATTGTTACTGGTATTATCAAGTGTGCACATTGAATGCGTAATAACGAGAGCTTCTTTTAGATAAGCGGTCCGAGGACGAACCGATCGTCAGGATGGCCGAATGTAAGAAATGCGAGATTACGGCGGCGAAGTGGTGGCCTGAACTCTGTCACCCAGGAAGAGAAAGTGCGCGGGTACCTGAGGGTACCATAAACTAAGCCCTTTCCCCGGAAAGTCGAACGAGGGGGCTCCAACGGTTTTTCGGAGCAACGCGGGATGCGACGCGGAGAGGACACTCTGGAAATAGCTGTCGAGCGAGACGGACACCGAAGCACTTAGCAGTTGCTTATCACTATACTTGAATACAGTTTTGGTTAATACCCTATCCTGTGTTAAATTTACTTAAGTTGTGCTGACACACGCAACATTCTAATTAACGTGACTCTGTGTATTACACACGAACGTCCACTTTAAATATCACTTATTCATATTTCATGTAAAACTAAAAAGGACTCTAAGCGGTACAATCAGTGTTTTCGAAACCGTATTAGGGTAAACGTTGCACCTAACTGGAACGTCTGTGGAAAATTGGTTGGAAGTTATTACTCTAGAGCATTTAGTTGCATGGTACGTATTACTTCGAATTTTCTTCGCCTTCGTTCACGGTAGAAATAGTTAGAAAAGCTCCATTCATGTCATAAAACAAATAACGATAGATTTACGTTTATATTTCAACGTTTTGTGGTTCGGTTTCCTTAGTTTAATTGTTAGCAAACGAATGTAAATTATTTCTCGCTGTACTAATAGTGAATGTTACGTTTCTAAATAACATAAGGCAAATATGATTTATTTACTACTGTCTCTGTTGAAATTGTACAACGCAGCCATAAATTCTAATGGGGTGCGCCGAACAGACTTTTTTCACTGACAAGTGAAGATTGGCACCCCGAAAATTCCAAAAAATTTGAAACTTTGAAGAAATGTAGTTTCAGTGACGCTAATAACGAAACTATTCTTTCCTAGGGGTGAAAACACCCCCTCAAAAAAATTGCGAGTTTTCGTATTATCGTGACATTTACGAAACCGTACGAGATATGGTAAAAAAGTTCAATTCAAAGTTGTGTAGCTTTTGATATTCTACATCGTACTTGTTAGGGATTGGGTTTATGACATGGACGCCTGTTTACGCTATTTTTGAATGCGCCACTTTTTTTCTTCGCGTTAATTAATTTTTCTTTCAAATTGGCCACGAAGCCCAGGAAGCGTTTTATGACTGCAGAAAAATAAATTTTCTGCGGGCCATATACCTTCCCGGTGCCCAGTCGTGAACATTCAATAGACATTGACATGTCATAAAACCTTTCGCGTCTCCCTGACCGCCCAAAGTCCCGTTACGCGCGGGCTACCCTTGGGCCTCACTCCCCCGCCATCGCGACATACCACCATCCTGCCAACTTGGAAATTCCAGGGTGGACGGCATGCTCGCGGGCCAGGGAGGAGGGAAAATAGACAAGTAGCACGTAACGAACACACGCCACATAAAATTGTCACTCTTCAACATAAAGCCTTTGCCTTATAACATATTAAAGTACGTGCAAACTCTAAGTCACCACGACTTCACACCAAGAACCACCGACAATCCTGCGCCACCACTCTCGAGCATACCGCTTGTTCGAAGCGCACGACGCAACAGTAATAGTAAGGAATTTTCGAAAAACAATATTTTTTTGAAAATTTACTCCCAGCACGCTTTTTCCTAAAATTTTTTACCACCACAATGTAGGATATCAAAGCAACACAATTCGCTATTTCGCACTACTTCATAATACGATCCGCATAATTTCTTTGACAGGGTGTTTTCACCCCTAAGACCGTTTCATTACTGAAATAAAGAAATCCCTTTCATAATTACCGTCACTACATTGCTGCAAAGTTTCAAATTTTTTTGAATTTTCGAATTGCCGAATTTCCCTTGTCAACTCTATATGCATGATAAATTGCAAGATTTTGGATACTCTGAAACCCACCTTTTAAATTCTTAAAAATTTTTGACCATCCTATGTACATGATTTCTTTCTACTATGCCCTTAATGCTTATAATAAATTCAAATTCGATTTCATTCAATAATAATTATTACGTTTTTATAAATTTCGAATGCGTTTAAATTACGAAGTAATCTAATCTTCTCTAAATAAAATATATAACTTCTTTTCGACATTTCAGTTCACTTATTTGAAGTGAAGTTAAATATTTACATATGTATATTGGAAATGTCTGTTTAATTGAAAAGGTCAAGATATGTAAAGTAAAGACTTTGACAGCCATTTGTCACGTAGATGTGACTTCGCTTTGCCAGAGATTATTGACGAGCATTATGCAAATTAATTACTATCTGCAGAAAGTGAAAGAGATATCGGCGTTGAGAGTATATCGTCAAAGTGTTAATTTTGATTTTTTCTAAGTTATATCACGGCTTTAATGCAATTGTGAGTGATCTGAAAAAATTGCTGTACTTATTGATATCCATGTATTTTCGTAATGCGGTATCTTTAAAGGTTTATTTCTTTTTTTTTTCATAGAATAGTTTATAAATATATTTAACGTGAATAACAGTTATTATACAGTAGGTGAAATAAAATTAAACACGATATATACAGTTGGTCACAGAAGTATTTGAACCTCCTTTAAAACAGAATAACTTTCTTAAAATTGGACTAAACGACTTGAGTATTTTTGAGAAGTTAAAAGAATTAGTATACTAGCTGACGTGTACGAAATATTTTGAAAAAAATAGTGAAGGTCGCTTTTACAACTTTTTTATCTGACAATACTTTATCTTCGATACGTGTCGCTTGTTTTTCCATCGACCGATTTCCATGAAATTTTCAGCGTATACATATGAGCCCATAATTATGAAAGTGGTGTAAGTCAAAATTAAAAAAAAATTAGTTTATCAGTTATTTCAATGGCCGTTGAAAACGGAAACGACAAACTTATTAGAAAAATAACGTTTAGAAAAATAAACTTAATAATTGTAATAGTCATCAAATTACAGTCTATGACTGCAGATTATGTTTCTTTTTTCTGAATCCCGGCATAGAATGAACAGTGTACTTGTTAGAATGAAAACTGCAGTTATTTTCAAGAAGTAAACACTTTTATGAACCGCAAATATGAAAAAACGAATACATTATGTATTATCTAAACTAATGACACCTTCTATGATGAACAAAAAGCTATTGCACGATTATTCTAAGTAATTCTAATTATAAATTGATAAAGAAGAAGAAAGAGAATAGAGGGAGGAAAAGTTATTGTGTATTGACAAAACGTGCTAAATAAGCTGAAGTAAATAAAGAAAAAAGATTAGAAAACAAAAGAAAAGTATTTGGGTCATTCAAAAGTTTGCTTAAAAATTTAGATAAGTTTCAGTTTCGCAACCGTTAAACGTTCTCTTTAAACAGGAAAAGTGACTAGCTTTTTTCAGATGCATAGGAAAATGTGTAGAAATTTTCTTCACGTCTTGTCTTTCCAATCAAATTTCAGGGGAGGAGAGTCGATCTTCCACTTCGCTGCTGACTACACTTCCGAAAACAATGGCGAATTTTGGCTACGTTGAAATTCTGTACATCATAGTACTGCTGCTTATCGTTATCTACAGCTACCAACAATATAACACAGATTTTTGGAAAAGTCGTGGTGTGGTGGGGCCACAACCTTTGCCATTCTTTGGAAACGCTAAGGACATGATGTTCGGAAAAATATCCCAGGCCGACTATATCAGAAAAGTTTACAACGAATTTCCAAACGAGAAAATGGTTGGACTGTTCTTAAGAGAACCATTTCTACTCCTACGTGATCCAGAAGTAATCAAAGAAATTCTTATCGAGGAATTTTCCAAATTTGCGGATCGAGGTTTCGGCATTCACGAAAAAGTATGAAATATTGCAATTCTTGATATACATATTTTTTGGGGGCTAAATTTCGTTTCCAGGCACTATTTGCTTTTTAACTTTTTTTTTGCATCTTCCGATAATACTCGATGAATAGAGACGAAATATAAGTTTTTAGTCTAGAAATCCATTTATTCAAAAGTTATGCTTCTTTAACGTTTGGTACTGTTACCCTATTGTATGGCTTATTTTGTCTCTATTCATCGAGTATACTATCAGAAAATGTAAAAAATGTTAAAAACAAAATGGTGCCCAGAAACGAAGTTTAACCTTGTTATAAAAAGGGTGTGTGCACGGCTTGTTCGGTGGCACACGGTGTAAACTATACGCTAGTGGACCATCTCCTTCGGCTACCTTCGTTAACCATACGTTGGCACGTCCGAGCCCCTCCTATCTACACCCACGTCTACCGCGAATCGGGAAACACGCGCCTTTATATCAGGACCAAAACCCAAACGACGTCGCAAGGCTGGTGATACCGGTCGAAATCCGCGAGCACCTGACAGCCTGCCGACGACTGTTCGGAACGCGAGCCGTAAATCCCTATAATAAAAGGGTGACAGCGGTGGAACAAGCCGTGCACACACCCTTTTTATAACACCATCGACAGAGATACACTTCCTAAAACGAGAAATTACGGTAAATTCATATAGGTACTATTCTAACACTGTCTTGAAATTTGATGAATGTATTTCAATATCTGCTACAAAATATAATAGAAGCAAATACTTTCCTACAAATAAATACCGGTGATATTGATAAAAATGATCATAAAAAAAATGTTCTCGTTCTGGTATTCTTCCTTCGAAACCATTCAAATTGTGCTATAAACATTTATAATATCATTAAATCTAACATCAAAGGAGATATTTAGATGTTCGCTTTATGCTGGGACACCCTGTATATTTACGTATTACAATTTTTTTAAATACGGTATATTATCATCTTCTTTTGTGAAAATTTACATAAAATATTCATATGATATTCTTTTTACTTTGTACATGAAACTATGACATAAGAGTTACAAACACTGCCGTTTATAAGTATTAGGACATCCATTATGTTGGTACAAAAAGTATTATATGATTTAAATTACATTTCTTCGCCCAACATTGTACGATTTGTGAGAAAAATAGAAGAGGACAAAGTTTCATTATTTTTTATACACAATGCGATGGCTTGAATAGATTTTTTAAATTTGCAATGGTTTTCACGTAATAACGGTACCATAAATTTCTTTTTCATCGATAGCTACAATTTTGATAGCTAATAATTGTAATTTTGCATATTACCTATATGAAAGCGGTTGCCACGATAAACTCACTTACAAGCTCAATTTCGTGACAATTTTTGGTGTGACATAATCAACGACACACAATTAGGATGTTATTTTTATGACGTCAAGTTTTTAGAAATGTTATCGTATAGTACTCGTACTACGAAGTTGCAGACTGAATAATTTTTTCACGATCTCAATAATTTTGTAACGACTGTTTAGGTTTGCTTCATATTCAATAATGAGACAAAATAAATTAATAAATGCACAGGAGTGTATAATACAATAGGAGACTTCCAAAGTTAGCACATTACGATGCTCATCACTTTATTAGAAAAAATGAATCAGTAATTAACATGAATTAACCGTGTTATAAGAGGGACGCCTGTGTTTCTATTGTTCGAACAAGCAGAAAATAATTTCGATTATTCTGTGAAATATTTACAGACGGATCCGATGTCGGCGCATCTCGTAAACCTGGAGCCAGAAAGATGGCGACCGCTAAGAACGAAATATATACCGTCGTTCACAGCCACAAAGATAAAGGACATGTTTCCCCTTCTTCTCGAGTGTTGCAAATCCTTTGAAAAATATTTCGAAGCAGAGGTTGCGAAAGGGAAACCGATAAGATGCGACGATCTCTGCGCAAAATTTACGATCAACATAATAAGCACTTATGCGTTCGGAATCGACACAAGTACAACAGAAAATGCCGAAATTTGTCGCAAGGGCAGGGAAATTTTCAAAGTGAATTTGGTAAATGCTCTCCGTTTTAAAATCAAATTGTACGCGCCAACCTTGTACGCTTTGATCGGTTACGTTATACCAGAGAAGAACTTAGCTCCATACTTCACGAAATTCATCACGGAAGTTATAAAGTATCGGGAAAAACATAATATCAAGAGAATTGATTTTATCAATACCCTTATGGAAATCAAGAAACATCCGGAAAATCTGCCAACTGTCGGTAAGTTTGCAGCAAGCGTTTACAATAAAATTTGAATATAGAAAGATATCTTTTTAACCCCTTGCCGTACAATAACGAGTCAGATTTTGGTTAAGATCAGATAAAAACAGTTACATCGGTAACAAAAATTCATTTTAATTCCAATTTTCGATTTAATTTGTAAAACTGAAGATTTAATTAATCTATAATACATCAGTGTTTCCTACTTAATGTAGCATTAAAATAGTAAATAGCGGATACTTAGATGCATAATTAGGAAAAGAAATCATACGTCAAGGGGTTAATATTAGGTAGGAAGAAATTCTGGGAGGATGGAATCATGAAACTGCCTCAAAGATGGCGAAAGATAGTGGAACAAAATGGCATATGAGGTTAAATAAATTTATATACTATATATACTACCGGCTAAAAGTTTAGGATCACTGTGCATTGCAAGTAACACGAAAATTTACAGAAAATAGTTAGAAAGTTTAAGAATTTTTTAACGAATTTCTCATCGTTCAAATCAATCGAAATGAGGTAAATTTCTATTGTTCTCGACAACATCGATTCCAAACCCATAAAGAATTAGTAACAGATTCAATATTGGTGTAAATCGGCAGGTGATCCCAAACTTTTGACCGATACTGTATCAGAACATTGTCTTTGAATTTAAAAATATCTAAACATTGTCTACGAACTTTTCTTTCAACCCAATATTTCGAAAGAGTGAATAAACAATTTGATATATGTAACACGATTTCTCATGCAAAAACAAATTGAAAAGAAATACTTATTTCAGACTTCGTTATCGAATTTGAAAAATGCGTATCTGAATATCCAATAACGATACATAGGGGAAAAATTATTAATTGTATTCTAGTAACAACATTATTGCAGCCATAAAATGTAATATTATTGTAAGAAGCAGGCATAATGGAAAAATCGCGAACACGGTCAATCGAACCTTCTCGGTTTATTCAGCGCCCAATAGGACGTGGGAACGAGCATGAGTGTCGTGCGGGTATGTGAGCGTTGGCTCCGAAAATGTTCTGACGTACCGCGGCCGGGCAGGCAAAAAACGCTAACCCAACACACCGAATTTTAAAAAAACGCGGGAACGTTCGGACGACGCGACGATAAAAACACGTGCCCGCGGCGTGCGCGGGCAGAGTAGAAGTAACCACAATACGATACGATCAGATATGATAAGGCTTGCGTGGGCGCCACGGTCTCGTCGATTAACGAATAGATACTCTTAAAATTCTATTCCTACATTATGTCACATCAAAACTACGGAAGCTACATATTTTTTTTATAATTAAATAATTTTTAAATTAACGATTAAAAAATGTCTTCCTACTAACAAGTTTCAGAAGCCGGATTTTTGCATTACTTTGAACAGTTTTCCTAAACAACTCTGCTATGTGTATATCAATCAAATATTTAAATCTTAATACTTTAATTATTTTAATTACGTACGTCACTTTTATTAAAATTTTTATCAATTATATACATCGATATTGTCCCATAGTACCTGTAATTTTAATAGAAAATAACAAGAAACATAGTTTTCTCTTGAGATACACAATTCTATAATTTAACTCTTAGAGGTAAATGCGACTTTAAATTAGTAAATAAATAATAATAATTCTATAATTTAATGGTATCTTTCAGAATTAACTGATACCTTCATTGCTGCACAAGCAACTGGAATGTTTGCAGCTGGTTTTGAAACTTCTTCGACCACAATGTCACACGCCCTTTACGAATTGGCACTGAATCCTAAGATTCAAAATAAATTGCGTGAAGAGATTAGGGAGTACCATGCCAAAAACAATGGAATCTGGACAAGTGAGGATATAGGGGAAATGGAATATTTAGAAAAAGTTTTTAAAGGTATTTATGTATAATAATTACTAATTGTGATAATTATTCCTTGACATTCTTTGTTGAAGGGGGTACAGCAACCTGAAGTGTCTAAAAATAGATCAATTTTGGGAATTTTTTTCATAGGTAACTGCTAAATGAAAAGTTTCAATTTTTTTCTGATGATATAAATGTAACTTTCAGCTTCTTTCTCCAATTTTTAGAAAGTGAAAATGTTACAAAATGGAGGTGTTTGTCGGTTCTTTCGTCTGCGTATCACCAAGGATATCATATTTTTGCATTTCTCATTTGTGAACCATTGTTAACTACATTTTTTCCACTAAATTTGGATGATCACTGTTACGAACCCACTGCCTTTCCCCCACACATTGTTATCAGATACTATTATAATGTTATTATTAACATTATTGTAATTACATATTATTGTTAACATTATTATTAGATATTATTATTATCATTACCAAACACCTTTATAATTATAAACCAAAACGCCAAGCAACCGCACAGGTAGGAAGGGGGCGAAGTCGGGAAAAACCCATGAAGCGACGCTCGACTCCAGGCCCTTTTCCTGACCATTGATTGGTCGGAAGCAAGGTGCCAAAACTAGTATAAAACCAACGTACCTGCACAAGGTCGACAGATAGTGTAAACCAGGCTTCGACTTCATTTTTAATTACCAAATTTCTTTTTTATGATACCTAATGTCTCCAAAGTCTTTTACAGTATAGGGCGGATTTACGCCAGGTGACTGTACACCAAATTCAAGCAAAAATCTACACAGGCGCTGCCTGTTCAAAAAAAAAAAGAAAAAAAAAAAGGTCGACAGATAGTCTAAGACAATACACCTAGAACAACACCCGTTCGAACTAAACATTAAATAAAGCGACATCAAACACATTTCTGGAATTTTACGCCTTTAACCAACCCGGAACGAGGGCGATCTCAACCGTTACGGCCCGTTCCGTAACATTGGCATTTCGAAAAAATCGTACTTTATATTGTAGGTAATACATTTTTATTTATAAATCAAGAAGAATGTTTTATTTCAGACGTTCTAATCCTCGTCGGCGATGACGGCAAGCAATCCATGTTCTAGCAAAAGAGGTTTCGCAATAACTCCTCCATTTTGTAATATTTGTACCTTTTAAAAATTGGAGAGAAAATCTAAAAGTTACGTTTATATCGTCTAAAAAAATTGAAACTTTTCATTTAGCAGTTACCTACGAAAAAAATTCCCAAACTTTTACCTAACTTTAGAAGCCTCAGGATGGTGTACCCCCCTAAATATCATTTACCCTTTCATTGCTGTTGGCGCTTTTTTGCACATACTGTACAGTTCGCGCATTTTGGTGTACTTCCAGCCTAAGTTAATCTTTAATTTTATCTTTTAAGTATTTTTGCCTTAATTTAAACGAAACAAATTTTAAAACGATACAGCCAAAACAAAAACTTTTGCGGCTGCGGTTGAATATCTACCGTCTGCCACGTGCGTTACGTACTTATTAAAATCTACCGTAGCGAAAAGGTTAATCTCGCAATCAGTAAAGAATAAAATATTAGTAGACTGCGGATTTTTATGCATTTATAGAAAATTTAAAGGTGTAAAATTGCACAGAATGCACGTAATATGAAAAAATATACAAATTACATTATAATACCTGATAGGTGAAATAATTTTCTACCCAAATTCTACTTTCTTACTATATTCTCAAAAATATAAATTTCTATAAAAATCCGCAGTCTAATTATGAGTATAGTTGACGAAAGTCAGTGAAACTGAACGCCTTGTTTTTGTAGAAACGTTGAGAATGTATCCACCGACAGTAATTCTACAGAGGAGAGCTAATTGCAACTACACTTTCAAAGGCACGAAGATTACAATACCAAAAAATACACCAGTATGGATTCCATTGTTCGCACTTCAACGTGATAGCAACGTCTTTCCAAATCCTGATACTTTTGATCCTGAACGATTTAACGAAGATGTAAATCGTAACTCGATATATTATATACCTTTCGGTGCTGGACCAAGGAAATGCATTGGTATGTTAAAGTACAGTAAGATAAATGAGTAATATATAAATAATTATTGTACATATCCTACACATAAATATTAATTTTTAGAAATATTCATTACTTACTTTCTTTCCTGCTTCGAATTTGATGAAAAATTACCTATGTATAATACTTCAGATTGTGTAATACTGCAGATTTCAATCGTGCTATGTTGTTTTCAGGTATACGTATGGGGAGCTATGAAACGAAACTTGGCATAATCCAAATCCTTTGCAATCACAGAGTCGACGTTTGTGAGAAGACTCTTATTCCGTATCAAACTGATCCAAATGCTATGCTACTGACACCACTGGGAGGAATATACTTGAAGATAACAAAATTGGAAACTTAATATACATTCGTTGAATGTGAGGTGGGTGAGGAACGCCGTTGCACTGTTTTCACCTCAATTTATTAAAATATAAGTGTTACGGTCGGCGTACAATTTGTCCGAAAAGTACAATCGTTTTATTCGTTAATTGTCCCGGCGGCAGCGGTTCGGCGGGTACGTCTCGATGGTTGGTAAAGGAAAAACTGAACTGAGGTGTAGGTGTACTGGGTTTTTATATTGTTAGGACAGGGAGACAGGAGTAGCGATAGATAAAGATAGAAGTGGAGAAAGTGGTGGAAACGGAAAATTCGTTCGTCCTCGTGCGAACCTGGATGCCACATGTGCGCTTCTTAGGCTACTCGAGGACGAAGGCAAGTCTTAACTCGGTGAGAGACAAAAAAACGGAAACTAAAATCTGAAGGAGTTGGAAAAGAAAAAGTTCGCGTGGAAGAATAGAACAAGGTTCGGTAAGGGTTTGTTGGCAACGACGTACCCGCTACAAATGCAAATTTTATTATTAATGTAAATATTGTACGTAAAAAATAGCGTAGTAATACCAGCGTAAATTTACTTTTCCACATTTATGTAATACAACTATGTGAAACTTTATTGTAGTTGATAAAGTTGCTGGTCCAAAGAACACAAAGCAAATTGAAATTTTTTTTCCTACATGTGTAAAATACGTTTGTTAATGATCCTTTTAAAATTCGGAAAACTGACGAAATTAGAAGTTCATGAATTGAAACAGTAAGTATATACAAGGAGTGAAAGCTTGTCAACAGCGACTTCAAACATAATTGCTTCGAAAGCACATTTTTCATATTATTTCATATTATTTCTTTCGAACAAATAAATCGATCTATATTGTTACGTACTGTCCGACAAACCTAAAGTGAAGCCTCTGACGTCACAGCCTAGCAAAATGGAGGCAAAATAGGCGGTTCAGGTAATTCCCACTACTCTTGGGTCTTACACTGCAGACCCTTGAGGGGAAGTTGTGTTGTAGGTAAATGGTTTAGACAAATGAATTTAAGTCAGCTGTCGATAATGTAACATGCTGATAAAAGAACGGAAAACTAAAAATTATTTGGTAGCCTTGTCTTCTTACCTACATACGTTGGCGCCTAAGACATATTTAATAGCGCAGACGTTAATTTCTAAGCGACTCATACACAATAAATTTTTATTGTAAAAGAAGCCTCACGAAATGTATTAGTATTTTTTAACAGTTAGAAATCTGAAATGTAAATATTTTTTTCCTATTCCTGAATAATAAAAGTAGATTTCGGCGCATTAAAAAATT